AGCCTTAAAAGAGAAGGAACCCTTGCGACATTTGGATGCACAAAGGGCTGGGCCTGGAGGGCACTGTGCTAAGGCAGGCAGAGAAAGACAAACACTGTACGGATCACTTGTGTGTGGAATTAGGAAAACAAAGCTGAACTCAGACAAGAAGAGCTGAGGGGTGGCCACGGGGGGCTTGGGTTGGGGAGAAATGGGGAGATGCTGGTCCAAGGGCACAAACGTCCAGTTATAAGATGGGAAGTTCTGGGACCTAATGCGCAGCATATAGTTAACAACGCTGTGTCGTAGACCTGAAGTTTGCTAAGAGAGTAGATGGGATGTGTTCTCACCCTACCCCCCACCCCCAAAAAAAAGGTAATTATGAAAGTTGATGGATGTGCTGATTAACTTGATTGTGTGGTAATACTTTCATGCATACTTGAAATATATATGATTTTGTCAATTATACCTCAATAGAAATAAAATATTTTTAAAACAACCATTTTTAAGAAGAGCATCAATGATGCACATTGATAGCTTCTGGTTTGGTCATTCTTTCAGAGCCCGCTTCTCAGGGGAGATGAGATGTCCTCTCTGTTCCATTTCAGATCTTAATTTTGAAATCATTCTAGACCCACATAGAAGTTGCAGAGTTCCTGCAGGGATCCCATGAGCCCTGCACTGAGTTTCCCCTAATGGTTACATCCACCAGAACCCTAGTAAAATGATCAAAACCAGGAAGGTGATCATGGCAGAATACAATTAATTAAATAATAGACCTTATTCAGATGTTCCGAGCAAAGAGACAAGACATTGTGGGTGAGAAAGAAAAGCAAACAGACCAGTATCTCCATTTAATGGAAATAATGAAGTATAGGCATCCAGTCCTACAATTAAAATAATGGTCAGGGCAAACAGTGGGTGCCTGCCAGATCCAGTCATTAATCCAAGGGCGTGTGAATGGTTTATGTGGACGCAAAACAGGAGCTCAGTTTCTTAGACCCACCTAAGTTAGAGATTTTTAGTTCAGTGGAGTGTTTACAGCAGATCTCAAATCAAAATAAAGAAAGCAGTAGTGCTGTGAACCTAAAACTGCTGTAAAGTCTAAAAAATAGCTTGGAGGCTAGAAACAAGAATGAGATGGATTTCCAGGGTGGAGTATATGGACGCGCCAGGAAGAAAGACAGTGGCTTCAGGCAGATGTCAGTTAAGTTGTGGCTTCACCATCATTCACTCCACCTCGTCAGAAACTCAGTTGTAAAGAGGGAAAAATATCAGAAATCATCAGAAAATAATCATCACTATTTTGGGGCAAAACTGCCTTGACTCAGACACTTTTCTGACAGTCTTTCAGTCTTTAAAATCCCTTCCGTGAGATGGCAAATAATCCCACCCTGCTACTCAGGGGTCTGAGGTCTGCAGGGCCAAAAGGCTCACCTACCATTCCCCATGGATCTAAGTCTAACGCCGACAGCCCTCCAGTTCAGCTGAAATATTAAACAAAAGAGTTTACTCTGAGCCTGAAACAAATAGGTCACTGCTTGAATGGATTTATGATTTGATTGACACCACAGAACATCCAAAATTGTAATCCAATCAGACCCAACCCACGATTTAAACTGAATATTGATTCAATGATTCGCACCAACACACAAATCCACCATAATAAATCTTCAGGATTTATCAGATCTACTTCAGGAGAACAAGAAACTTCGTCTCTAATTGTTAAGATATTGGTGCCTTTAGCCTTTTGGAAAAGTATGGCTTGCCAAATTGATATTGTTGTGCCCAAAGTCGCGAATCCCAAGGAGACCACCAAGGAGCCAACACGGATGCAAAAGCAAAGAGCCTTTATTCGAGCTAGCCGGGGCTCAGTCTCACGCCCGGGCCAACACAGCGGCCGGGTGCCAGAGAAAGAGAGCGCGTTTTCTCCAGAACAAAGGTTTTATGGGTTTCCAGGGCGGTTTGAGGGGGGTGATGGCCGTGGCTCTGGCTGATTGGCTGGACCTGGGGGTAGTTGGGAGGGGGGATGAGTCGTGGCTTTGGTCAGTTTGCAGGGTCCAGGGGTGGTGGATGTTCTTGCTGACTGGAGGGGAGAGAGGGACTAAGCTCTGATTGGGTGAAATAGGATCCAGGTCCCGATTGGCTGAAATAGAATCTGGGAGCTTGCCCTTTCAATATGACATGATTCTTTTTCTCTACTTGTGTACAACCTCTGGTTTTCTAAATGTCTATCTAGAAATATGTTCTTCTCATACTTTCCCTTGTCAGCTTATTTTAAATAAATCATTTTTATTAAGCAAGCGTTTTTATTAAATAACTACATTTACATTAAAATAAAAGAGTGGGTGACCCAAACTGGTTCATAGTTGTGGATATGTATCCCCCAATTTCTTTCAATACTTTGGACATATGATAAATAGCTCCCGAGACCAGGAAAACCCACATGGTGTCCAGTGTCGACTTGTTTAACACATTACTTTTCCTCTTGGTGGAGATTCAGTGGAAATGGAATCCATGAGGACCACCTAAAATTGAGCATTTCCTGCCCCTAAACCAATCAATGGGCTGATGAGATTACAGGAAGGGTGGGGTTTCTCCGGCTCCTGCATAAATGCAGATGTTTCAGCCCAAGATTCAGAGTGAGAGCCAGTCCCAGGCCAGGAGGTAAGTTACTGGTGGGAATGTCCATGTTGGGGGCTTGGAAATTGGGATGGATGAGATTGGAAGATTTGGGCTTGTGTTCACCAAGTATCTGCTCTGAGACCCAGTGAGAGCAGCGGTTTTGCCTGGTACCCTGTTATTGACTTTGAGTCATTATTGAACTCATCCATGAAATTGGAATAATGTTAACACACTAGTGGTGGCTTATATGTACTTTTCTCTTTTTTGTGTGATTCATCTTTTATTACTTTTAAAATTCTGTGTATTTCACACCAGGGTTTCTCAACCTTGGCACTATTGATGTTTTTTTGGCCAGGCAATGTTTTGCTGTGTTTTGGGGATGGGCAGTGGCCTGTACATGGCAGGAGGTTTAGGAGCATCGTTCCCACCTCCCCCATGCCTGGGGTTGTGACTTCCAGAAATGTGTCCAGACATTGCCAAGGGTCCTGGGGGGCAGAGGGAGTGGGTGCAGACATCACCCTGGTGAGCCACAGCTCTGAGGATCCATCACTACAGACAGACAACAATGTGCCAGGCATGTCACCAGCGTCCTCTTACTTTCTTCTCAAACAATTGGAGAGGTAGGTTGTATTGCCCCGTATTACAGAGGCTTATTGCCCCCTGAGAGCTGATGGTTTTGCTCAGGGCACCACAGCTGATAAAAACCAAAAGCATGGAATTATAACAACTCTGCCCTGAAGCAAGCTTCCCCAAGCAATCTGAAATATGAAAAGTTATTCCATTTTAGATGGTTACAGATTTTAGGCAAATACATTACCTTTGAATTCTTCTGTAAGAAATGTGGGTTTCCTGAGATTTCTAACCATGTCATACTATTGCTTAAAAAGCAACACTGTTTCTTTGCTATCCAACGGGGTAAAATCAAACCCTTAATGAGGGACCTGATAACACCCCAGGTGAGCCGGGCCATGGCCAGAGCCCACGCTGCTCCGCGCGGGGCCTGTGCTGGCTACCCCGGGGTTTGGACCCTGAACGGTGTGCCTGCTTTTGGTCTGCTTCTGAGGCTCTGCACTTTTGATTCAGTGTGAAGGGAACCCAAAGTGATTACAAATTTCCAACCGGATCCCTCCTTCTCCTAGTTTCCCACGTTTAACCCCCAGACTCTGGGGCTCTCTCCTCACACGCTCAGGCTTTTACACACAGTCTTCCAGGAGCTTTTCTACCTCCCGGGCGCAGGAAGCCCTGGGAATGCCCGCTCCTGGGCCGGCCCGGCCTCCTCCCTCCCAATTCTCTCTCCTCTCCCCAGACTTTGGGGCTGACTCCACAGCCGAGCAGGGCGGGGCAGGGTCGCGTTTTTTTCCGCAGCTGCTGTACTTGGAGTAAAGCTGACAGCCGGCGATCTTCCTAAGGCCCCCCCCCCCCTTCCTTTGGAAGCTAGGACTCCTAAAAGCTTTTCAATCTTAAATCTTGCTGAAATTTTCAAAGAGCTTTGGATTTTAAATCCATTTTCTAGGATGGGATTAAGTGCTTGTAATCCGCAGGGCTGGATGGAGATCAGTGGCCGGTCACGGGTGGGGGCTGGGGGCGGACGGGGGACGGGGGAATGCCCGCTTGGTGGGGAGGGGCCTTCCCGCAGGGGGTGGGCGCGTCCCAGAACTTCATGCGCGAAAGTGTACACTTCAGAGAGTTAAGGTGGTGAGTGTCACGTGACGCGTATTTTTCCACTACCATAAAATACGTCTTTAGGAGTCTGATTCTCTTGGGATTCTTTTGTGCCCTCCCTTCCCTGGAACGAATAACTAACCCGGCCTTACTAAGGAACAGTGTTGGGGAACCATCACATGCCCCCAACATTACTACATCACATGCAATTCTCAGGGTGTAAATATTCTGTATTTTTCTGCAGAATCGTGACTAACACAGTTTTTGCCTGGCATCTCGTTTTAGTGGGAAGATATACAAGCTGACATTATGGCTAAAATCGAGTTTAGGGGCTTCACACATAGTTATCATTCAACTTACAATAAAGAACAATTTCGTCCCAATTTACAGATGAGAACCCCACCTTTCCACATTAAGAGCTCAGGATCCAGGGGGCCATTTGAACATTTAAACCAACTTTTACGGCACAGGTGGATGTTGGAAGAATTATTATATGGATTAATATCCACGGTATTAAGTACAGGACCGATGGGGGACGGTGTCTGCGGTTGAGGTGAGGGATTTAGAAGGAGGGAAGGGAGAGGTAAGAAATCAAACTGTTGTATTTTTTCCTGCAGACTTCTGAACAGTGACTGCTGTGAGGAGACCAGAGCAAATCCCATTAGCTAGGTCTCAACTAGACAGGGGTCTTGAAGAGCTTGCTCAGAGCCGCTTTGGAAATGTCTCCAGTAAATATGACCAGGGACCCGACACCTTCATCGGGTCAAGGGATACCCCGAGACGGCCCTAAATCGGAGCTGCCCCAGTCTGTACTGGCCCCAGGAGCCCCCCCTGGAAGGCAAGACGGTGACTCTGAGACCTGGCACGTCAGCTTCAGAGCATTCACCGGCTCGCAGGAGTCGGACCCTGTCAGCGACCTGAGGAGGCTCTGGGAACTCTGCCACCTGTGGCTGCGGCCAGACCTGCACACCAAGGAGCAGATTCTGGACAAGCTGGTGATGGAGCAGTTCATGATCTCCATGCCGCTGGAGCTCCAGGCCCTGGTCAGCGAGAGTGGGGTGGAGAGCTGCAGAGACCTGGAGGCCATGCTGAGAAGCGACCCCAAGAGCCCCAAGAAGTGGGTGAGTCGGAGCTTGGTGCTGGCGTGCAGGGAGAGCAGGTGTGGGGCTGCAAGGTGGGGTTGGAATGGGAGGGTGTAGGTCATTGGTTCTCAAATGGGAGAGAGTATGTCCCCCAGGAGAACTCTAAGGTCATTGCTGGCTGTCACAGGGGGAGGAGACGCGGCTGCTATGGCATCTGGTGGATGGAGGCCAGAGACGCTGCTAAACATGTTAGCATGCACAGGACGGGCCCAGCACAGAGCCATCAGCTCCAAGTGCTGACTGTGCCAAGGCTGGGAAACCCTAGTCTATGTCGTACATTAGGCAAAGCCAGCCATCGGCTCTTCAACCACGTTATGTCGCACAAGACATGGATGGGAGGTATGTATTGAGAATTTTCAGCACGCCACATTATCCTGATTAATCAGTCGAGGTGAAGTGGCTGAAGATCCAACAGACGGGCCTCTGTCCCCTGTGAAGGCTGAAGAAAATGGGGTCACGGGATTGAAGGCTGCCTCTGCGGCCATTGAAAATGGTTTCCAAGCGCCTCTCGTTTGGAAGTGGGGAGGAGAGGCGAGACTGGGGACGCGTGCACACCTGTTTATGGGTAGGTGACAGAAAGGATGTTGAGGAAGTCGGTGTCTCCTGCTCCAGCCTTTCACAGAAAAGGGATCGGAGAGAGAATTAAATTAAGTCCAACTGACTGTTTTCTCGTGTTCCCAAGAACGGGTGGCCCTGTAAGTGGGAGCTGGGGTGGGATGACTTACTTCTTTCTTGGAGCCCTGTTGAGGAGGGCTGTGACCATCTCAGAAATTCTCTCGGTGGTCTTCTGAGGATAAGAACTGTGGATGAGGACTGCAAGAAGCTTGGCGTTCTGTGACCGTCATGGGGGAAGAGCAGACAGAGGACTTCCATTTGAGGAAAGCCAAGTGGCCAAGGGGCGGCCAGCGTTTTCTGTAAAGGCGTCCATAGTGAATACTCTGGCTTTTGGGGGGGTCATGCTGTCACATGAGCTCTATCACATTCTTCGAGTTGTTTCATAAAAAAGGGCAAATACCATTTCTGGTTGGAGGGCCATTTAAAAAAAAGAGCAGGCTGCCGACCCCCACCTTTGAACATCCCAATGGGAGATTTGAAGACTTGGAAGTCGCCAAGCAATGGGACACAGCGTTGGACTCCTGCTAGGAAAGTGTGTCTAGGGGGAGGAGGCCAAGTGCCCTAACGTGTGAGGTCTGGGTAAGATGGAGAAAAGAGGGAATAAGAGAACAGAGAGCTCTGAGATGAAGGCAGGGAGCATGTGAAGGCAGAGCCAGCACCGTAGTCAAACGCACAACTAAGTGGCCCTTGTGGCCAACCGTGCTTCCTGGCGCTTTACACATAATTAACACGACGCTTTCAATAACGTTGTGAGGAAACTGGTGCACGGACAGGATTCACCTGTGAGCAGGTCTCCCAAGAGCCGCTGGACATCCACCCCAGTCTGGGCAAAGGGTTTCAGGAGTCACCCTGCCCTCCGGCTCACGGGGACAGTCCAGAGACTCAAGGGCAAGGGAATCTGAAGCCAGCCCACTGGCTTTTGTAATTTCTGATATTGCCAGAGACCCTCTTTTAAGACTCGTTCTGTTTGAAAAGAGCAGCTACAGGTCAGGGAGGTGAAGGGGACACGCTGCCATGGTAACCAGCGCCCCTGCTGCTGCTGGGGGTGGGGGGCGCAGGGGGCCAGCGGTGGGCTTTCAGCTCCTCCCAGATCGGCAGTGGTGCCGCCTGGCGCCGGGTCCTTCTCTGCTCTGGGGCCGTCCTGTGCGTCGCATCTCAGGGTGTCCAGCAGCATCCCTGGGCTCCACCCACCCATGTCAGTGGCAACCTCCCCAGTTGTGAAAATCACAAAACAAGGACAAAAGCAAGATCTCTGGTCATTGCCAAATGTCCCAGAAGGTCATAGTGGCTCCCGGGTAAGACCAGTGGAGTAGGTATGACTTCCGTGGGAACAAAGCAAGGGCGAGGGTCGATTCCACCTCAGCTCCTGGGAGCACTGGGCCACGATGGCCGCTATTTCCAACGGGCAACACCAGCAAAGCGCGGGTGTGACGGCGGGCTGCACACAGAGCAGGAGAGCTCCATTCCTGGTCCCACAGCCAGGCTGACCTTGTTTTATTCCCCCCCATTCCCCAGACCATAGTCACCGTACAAGGACAGAGATTTCTTCTGCGAAATTCAGATGTTCAGATGGCCGAAGCTGAGGACAGTGACGCAGACAACGTGATGGACTTGTCCCAGAAGCCCCAGCCCTCAGTGAGCAACATGCACCCAGAGCGCAGCCAGGGGGTCGGCCGAGAGCCACGGACTCTGCCAGGAATCAATGAGATGTCAAGGGGGCAGGTGAGTGGGACGCCCACCTGGACCGCTGGGCAGAGGCAGGAGAAGGTGCAGGAGGCAGCCACAGGCAGCGTGGCCAGAATGGCTGGGATGTGTGGCACAGGACAGACCTGGACGCGCTCACTCTGGGGATGCCCGTGGGGGCAGTCAATCCCGAGGCATTTCTGAGCCAGTGTGGGGAATGAAGGCCCATCAACCTTTGTCCCTCCACCATTAAGGCTTTCAGCAGTAAGAGTGGGGAGAGGGAGAGGGGCTCAAAGAAACGATGCCAGGTCAGCTTGCCGCAGGTCGATGAACTAACTGAAAGCTAGTTTTTCCTCTGCCAATTTCCTCAAAAGACACTCCATGAAATGGTAATGGCCAAAGGAGCAGTTTTCGGAATATTGTCAATTCCTTAAATGAAAGGAGCCCTTTGGCCTCCCCAAAGCCATCCGCAAACGTCCGGAGACCTTTCTGGTTGTCAGCCTGGGGGCTGGGGGCAGGGGCTGTTGGCCTCTGGTGAGCAGGGCCCAGCTGCTATCACCCTGCCTCCCGTGGACGCCCCCACCACAGAATCATCCAGCTGCATTATCCACAGCACTGCACGGGGAGACTGGACCTCGAGTCACTGTGCTTCCAGAGTTAGGGGCAGGGGATGATGGGTGACCTGGAGAGGTGTGCCTGGAGAATTAAGAGGAGAAACTGTAATGTAGGGGCTTGATTGAAAGGTGTGGTGGGGACAGACTGACCACAGACTGGGGAGTCAGGCGGTTATCGGGGTGACGGGGTCGCCCAACACAAGTCCGGGCATACCCACCACCCTATGTTGTCAGGAAGTCAGTGTCTCAGGTCAGGGAGATGGGAAAGAAGAGACAGGGCTTGCCAGGCCCGGGATGACAGGCGGTCACAGCTCCACTTGGCTGTCTGATACCAGGGACAGGAAGTTCTCCTGCCAGAGACCATGCCTGCAAAGGGAGGCCTGGGGGGCCCGAGACCCCAGCAGACCTTGGAGAGGGAGCTGATGGAAGGCAGGGAAGAGCCCCAGCTTCAGAAGGGCCCCGGTGAGTATGAGCGCTGGGAACTCAGGAGTGAGTGGCCCTTCCCACGCCGGGTGTCCAGCATCACCACCTCCTGGGTGGGAGCTGGTGCTCAGGTGCGACACCTTCTCCATCGCCTCCTCTTCCGGAGTCCAGCCATCCAACCGTGAGGTCTGCTGATGGAGTTCTCCGCTCTAATGAGCCTGGCGGTTGGAAATGCACTTCATTAAATGTTAGGTGTTGAATCCCCTCTTTCGTCTGGGAGGGCAGAGGGTGGGAGGAACCCCCAGGAAGTTGCTGGTTCTGAAGTGTGGCTGCCCACCTCCCCCTGCATCTCAGGGACAGAAGATCTGGCCCCAGGCGGGAGCCCGGGAGAGTCTCACGAGCACCCCAGAAGCTCCCAGAGGAGACGACCGGACTTCGCCCCCAGTTCCCACGGGACTCAGGAAGGAGCCACACGTTTGGACAGAGTGGGAATCCGGGGACAACCTGGGTCCGGTTCGGCCCGGTTCCAGTGCGGGGAGTGCAGCAAAGGGTTTCGGTACTGCTCTCAGCTCAGCATGCACCAGAAGACACACACCGGGGAGAGGCCCTTCGCCTGCAGGCTCTGCCACAAGGGCTTCCTCCAGCCCTCGGACCTCCGCGTGCACCAGCGCACCCACACCGGCGAGAGGCCCTTCGCATGCGCACTCTGCCCACGGCGGTTCGCCCACGACTCCACGCTGCGCACGCACGGCAGGACCCACACCCACGAGAGGCCCTTCCGCTGTGACACGTGCGCGAGGGCCTTCAGCCACAAGGGGAACCTGCACGTGCACCTCCGCACCCACTCCGGGGAGCGGCCCTACGCGTGCGGCCCCTGCGGCCGCTCCTTCCGGCAGCTGGGCACCTTCAAACGCCACCAAAGGGCGCACTGCAAAACGGCCGGGCAATGACTTCCAGGGCCCCCGCCCCAGAAGGCAACGGCGGTGCCTCGCGGCCCGGTACCGTCCAGTCTGGCATCGAAGCTCTGGTGAGGTTCCGGGACCAGCGGGGTTCCCAGAAGCTTCCTTGTGAGGGGCCTTCAGCGGTTCCCTTCCCTGCCGGTTTGCCTTTCAGTCTGATTCAGGTCGCTGTTCTTCCAACCAGTGCGGTCTCCCTGGTTTTTGTATTTAATGATTAAACGGTGGTTGTGGACTATCCCGTTATCCGTGACTTCATTGTGAAATGGACCAGCCAGATAGGGTGGCCAGATTAAACCCAGGACACCCAGGGAAGCTGGTTCTTATACACAACCTGTACTTTAAGTATGAACGTGTTCTGAACTGTTTGTTTGTCCAAAATTCTGATTTCACCAAGCACCTTGTGTGTGCGTGTTTTTTTAATATTTGTGTTTCAGAGCGGTTTTAGGCTTGCAGCAAAATTGAGCTGGAAGCACATAGACTTCCTACACACCCTCTGCTCTTCTCCCACACCCATCCTCCCCCCTTATCAGTACCCCCAACCAGATGGTGCAAATGCCGCAGCTGATGAACCCATGCCCACCCATCATCAGTCATCCCCAGAGCCCATGGTTTATCTCAGAGGTCACATACCCATCATCAGTCACCCCTGGAGCCCACCGTTTGTCTTTGGGGTCACCCACCTGTCATCAGGTATCCCCCTGAGCCCATTGTTGGTCTTCGGGGTCACTCTCAGGGACATGCATTATGCAAATGTATAATGTCCCTCGGCCACTGGTACAGGGCCACACACAGTAGTGTCACTGTTATGAACCCTCTGTGCTCCACCGAGTCATCCTCCTTCCCTTCCTGCATCCTGTATTTTTATTTGCTAAATTTGGCAGCCCATAAAATCTCACTTGGATAGTAGCCCACAGAGGCATTCTGAGCTGCTAGTCACTGGCTCACTTTAGTCACATCGGCACCCCCGAGGGCTTCGTTAAACCACAGATATGTGGGCCACATCCTCGGTTTTGGATTTAGTGGCTCTGGGCTGGGACCTGAGAATCTCCTTTTGGGGACAAATTCAGCCCATCAAAACTGACTCAATGTGGGCCATTGGGATTCCCTTAGTTCCCACCTAACATACACCGTCCATCCAGGAGGGCACCTGGCACCATCTCCTTAGGCTCCTCCCAGTGGTGACAGGGTCTCAGATTTTCCTTGTTGATGACCCAAGAGTCTGCAGTTTTAACAAGTTCCCAGGTGGTATTCCTGCTTCCTGGATGTTTTGATAACAGCAGGTCCATAACAAAGGTCAGGTCCAGCCATCTTCCTAGAGCTGGGCCCGTCACACCCCGCAGGGGCCAGCCTGTCGACCGCGCGCACAGGGTCTCTGGAAGGGTGTGCGGGGCCCCTTGAGGCAGGCCCTGCTCATCTGGGGCTCCAGGCTCTGCACCACCTCGGAGCTGAGAGGAGGTGGTGTCGCATCCTGGTGACAGTCGGACCTCCTCCCCCAGACCTAGAAAACGTTCTGATGGCACAGCCTACTCATTTGTTTTAATCATACGGGCGCCGTGACCGATTAACCCACCGGCAGTGTCTTGATAGCCCCCTTTTCCAATTGGGCTGCATGTTGGAATCACTTGGAGATTAAAAACCCACCTGCACTTGGCGGCCACACCCAGAGCCGAGGTGGCAAAGCCCCCCAGGCGGCTCTGATGCGTGGCTGCCTCCCGAGTCGGCGTTGTCTCTGCTTCCAGACCAGCTGCTGGGGGCTTCATCACCCCAGGTCCCCCTCCTCGAGGTCAGTCCTTCTGATGGCGGGACCGCCCACCTTCGTGCTCGGCCTGAGGAGGCTGGACTGGCCGTGTGCTCTGAGAGGCCGCTTCCCTCACCTGCTCTCCGCAGCTCCGCCCTCTTGGACCAGCTAGTCAGGGTCTAGGAGGGCGAGGGGGTCACCGATGAGCCGCTCAGCCCTGGCCCCCTCTCCAGGCGTGTCCCCAGCAGGCGCACTCACACGCCTGCGGTGCTCATTACCAGTGAATCACAGCAGGCCCTAACCCACCGCTTCTGCTCCGGAGCCTCGGGGGCTGGCTGGGGCCTGTTCTCGGTTTCAGCGGAGACCCTCCGGGGGATTCTGATGCATGCTTGGATTTGCCGACCACTGCCCTTGGCCGTTGGTTCTTAGACTTGGAATCGCCCGGGTGGAGTTTTGCGTTGCAGAAACAGGACAGGGAGGCCTCGGGTACCCTTCATCCAGTCTTAAAAAATGCCTGCCCGGGGCAGGAGGGCAATGTATCTAAACATCTAAAGGGAACCGGGTTCGGAGAACACGGGTGAGCGGCCTTGGCAGCTTGTCCTCTTCATCCTTTTCTCCCAGAAGACAGCGAGGGGGCGAGGAGATGGAGGGAGAACTGTGTCCCAAGAATGCAGTTCACTTACAAAGGCTGGAAGATCGCCATAGCGATGGCCACGTGGCGCATCACGTCCCTGGATCCTAGGAGAGCTCACAAAAGAATCCTGGCCACCAAGTAAGTGCTGGAGCCACCAGGAACATTGCAGAAAGATGAGCTTCTCAGTGGCAATCTGTGTACACCAATGAACGTGGGCAGGCTGCCGCCGACCCACCGGTGTGTGGGCAAGGTACACATGCAGGTTGCGGGTGGCGGCTGGGACTTTAAGGATTAAACAAAAATGTTTTCTTACAGGGAAGTCGAGGTCTAGGGAGCGAATGAAAACTGGGAAGCTCAGGGCGGCAGCGTTTCGTTGCTGGCTCAGGCCTTTCACAGAACACGTGGGCTGTGTCTGAGCCTCGTGCACATACATCTTGGTAATTTTGAACATTTTAAATCGTAACTTGATTTTTGAGTTGGTTTGTGTATTTATTGTGAACAATGCCCAGTAGGTGGCAGCAGAGGTCTTCTAACAGGTGTTGGGAGCTGGTTCCTGATCAATGTTTACAATTGCCAGCGTTTCACAGTGAAATGTTCTGACACACAAATGAATGAGAATTTTTACAAAAATAAATCTTTCTGCTGTTAGTGTGGGACTAAATTTAATCCTTTGTGTGGTATCTGATCCTTATGATAATGACAATTAGAATGGTATTTTAAAATGAATGGTGTTTAAATGGTATTTAAAAATGACCATTAGAATGGTATTTTTTGTTTGTTTTTGTTTTTTGTTTTATCACACTGATGCTTTATTTTTAACTATTGAATCAGTTTTTAAAAAATTTGGACAATTTCATTTTGGAGGCTTCAAGTCTTTAAAAGACAAAGGGAACGTTTATCTTTTGCAAACCATTTGGTACAATGAGACATAAAATACTGTGTGTAAGTTATAACTCAAACCCTTTCCAATATGCTCTGTCTGTAGGGAAGTACACAGTGACCTTGAAGAGAATTGGATTTTGTAATAAAGACTCAGATTATAATGAGATACATACTTTAGGTAGTTGTATAAACACTCTTGGAAGATTTTTTTTTTTTTTTCTCTCCAGGACTCTTTATAACAAGTAAGATCACTTCCCAAACCTTACAGAAAAATGCAAGGTAGTCATTGATGAGTTGAGGAACAGCACATTAAAAGAAGGCAAGCCAAAATAATTTAAATAGAAAAATGTAATGATCATTTCAGGACAAGTTAAATATTATTCAAGAAAAGAACATACTCGTAGTAATCTATATAGTGCAAACAAATTGTCTTTTAGATACATTTTACTAATATATGCCACTGCTAATGGTGATTGGGGAGAATACCTACTTTCTCCAAACTGCGTTTATTACTAAGGTTTTTGGGTTAAACTTTCTTTTATTTTTAATGATTTATTTAATTATGAATCAGATGAAGCTTCATTTCATATATTTAAAAGCCATTTAGATGTTTTTTCTATAAATTGTCCATTCATATATCTGCCCATTTCCTACTGTCTTACTGTTTTTTTAAATATAGATTTTAAAGCACATTCTCCATATTAAGAAAATCGATATAATTGTTGTATATATATGTCTTTTGACAAAGTTTATTATCCTTTTGCTTTATCTATGTTTTTTTTTTTTTTTTGCCACATAGAATTTCAAAAATAGTATGTGGTAAGTTAATCAAATTTTTCTTTTATGGATTCTGAGTTACATAGTGCTCAAAAGTTCCTAGAACTCTAAAATGATATATCTCTAGTTTCTCTCAAGTTATTTTTTGTCTTTAAATCTTTAATCTGGGTTTGTATGTGTGTGTATGTGTGCATCTGGTGTGCATGTAAGAAGTGAGGCTGAGGTTCAAAGACTTCTATTTCC